CCGACGACGACGTCGTCTAGACAACGACGACGACGACAACGACATCGAGGACGTGAATGGCGACGCCGACGACGCCGACGCCACGGCGACGACAGGAGGCGCACTCCTCGTAGCCTCTTCACTCTGGAGACCGAGCGGAACGCTCGCGCTCATATTTGTTTTTTTCTCTCGCTGTGGCACCGTTGCTGGAGTAGATGACATCGTCCATCATGTTGATTGCCTCGGCACTTTTTCTCGCGATGCATCTTTCACTCCGTGGCCCACTGGCCCCGTTTTCGTGGCAGCAGCGTTGTTGCGGCCAAAGCCCGAGGACATGCAGACACGGTTGCCACCGCGGCATGCTCCGGACACGCGCCACTGTCGAGCTTTTATTTTCAAGATTGCGCTCTTTTTAACCAAATTAGGGTGCCCTACTCTGTCCAGCACACACATGCACTTACATGCAAAACACATTCGCAACACACACACACATACACAATGACAAATAAACACACACACACGCGGACAGAGTGTGAAGCTTTCCCCTCGCTGCCAAAGGTGTGAGAGATCAGGCGATTTTTTTCCTTGGACGTCGATCGGGTCCTCGCCAGGCCTGGAAGTCGAACGTCCGATGATTCGTCCACTGGCTGAACTGCACCCGCCCTTGCCAAAGAAAGAACATAAAAAAGCAAGGAGAAGGCCTCTCTTAAGCTTGCAGGGTTAGAGTGCCCAGGGGATTGCCTCCAGAGAGAATGCACCAGTTCGGTTCTGTGTGCGTTGCAGCTATGTGAACCGTTCCGGCTTCTCGTGGTGTGAGTCGATGTGGCCACTCGTCCTTCCTTGTGTGAGGGTTTCGGGCTCCTCATTGTGTGTCAGTCGTTCGTGCTTTTCGTGGTGTGAGTCGTTCGGGCTTCTTTTCCTTGTGTGCGTCGTTCGGGCCTCTCCTTGTGTGTGAGTCGTTCGGGCTCCTCACCGTGTGTTTCGTTCGGGCCCCTCGTTCTGGTGTGAGTCGTTTGGGCGCCTCCTTGCGTGTGAGTCGTTCGGGCTCCTCGTGGTGCGAGTCGTTTGGGTCGCTCATCCTGCTGTGGGTTGCTGGAGCCGCTCTTTGTTTGTAACTCGTTCGGGCTCATCGAGGTGTGAGTCGTTGGGGCCTCTCGTTCTGGTGTTAGTCGTTCGGGCTCCCCTTTGCGTGTGGACATGAGAGCGCTGAGCCAGCGCATCGCGCGCGTCGGTGACATGGCAAATTATATTAACCCCGCTAGTGAGCTCCATGTGTCTCCATGCAGTCGAGGTCTGTGCGAGAATGCGCGTAGCCCTGCTCTCCGCCCACAAGCTACAAGAGACCATTCCGAATTCCCGAACCCATCATCCACAGGGGAACCCTTGGAAAGTTCAAACGTGTTTTCTGAGAACCGCGCTGATGCCAGGTGTCTTTCGAGTTCATATCGGGTCTACTAATCGCGTTGGATCTGGGGATGGTGATCGTGCTTTTTTCTTGGAGTCGCGATCAGCAGCTCGGGTGCACAAGGGAGTGCGACAAAGGCTAGGGTTCACTATGGCTTGGCCATCGGAGGGCCGAAGGGTTTACGATTCCCCAGCGGTTCTCCGTAGCCGCAGTCTGTGTACCGAGGTGCGGTCTATCTACAAGCCTTCGGCCAATCCCGCCACAGTTTATCTACTGGCCTCTGGCCTATCGTGTCACAGTCCCAGAGTCCCCCAGGAGGTCCGAAGCGGCTCCTCTAAGGCCCCCAAGACGCTCCGAGAAGCCCCTAGGGCCAGCAAGAGGCTCACCAGACGCTCCCAGAGGGAACGAGGTACCTGAACGCCTCATGTTCCGAGGAGTCCGAACGACTCACACCAGGACGAATGGCCCGAACCACTCACATTACGAGAAGCCCGAACGACTCCCATCAGAAGGAAGGGCTCGGACGATTCACACCAGGACGAAGAGCCCGAACGACTCACACCACGAGGAGCGCGACCGACTCCCACCACGACGAGAGCTCCGAACGACACACACCACGAGGACCCCGAACGACTCACACCAGGACGAGGGCCCCGAACACCTCACACCACGAAGAGCCCGAACGATTCACACCAGAAGGAGGGGCCCTAACGACTCACAGCAGGATGAAACGCTCGAACGACGCACACCACGAGGAGCCCGAACGACTCACACCTCGAGGAGCCCGAACGACTCACACCACGTCAGGGACCTCGAACGACTCACATTACGAGGAGCCTCACATGGACCAGGATTACATCCAGGCGCTCAGGAGAACCCCAAATATACCTCTCCTGCACTGTAGTTGTCGCTGTTGCCATTCTGGTTCAAAATAATGAAGCGTGGCTGTGAGCTTAGCTCGGCCAGCAGCAATCGCGGCTGCCTACCTACAATCTGTCAGTGTCTGTGAGTTCTTTCCGCCCATCAGTTTCGCTGTCAGCTGAGCCCCGCACGGACGCTCGTCCTTCCAACACATTAGAGCGTTGGGCATGGAAATGGTGGTGTGAGCTATGCCTGGGGAGTGCGAGGGCCCACTGTGGCGGTGCAGAACATGCAGCATGGATGTCCAAAACGCTCCAAGAAGCCCCTGGGGTCGCCCAGAGGCTCACCAGAGGCTCCAAGAGGGAACGAGGTGCTCGAACGCCTCACGGCCCGAGGAGCCCGAACGACTCACACCCGGACGGGAGGCCCGAACGATTCACACCACGAAAAGCCCGAGCGACGCACACCAGAAGGAGGGGCTCGAACGACTCACACCAGGACGAGGAGCCCGAACGACTCACACCACGAGGAGCCCGAACGACTCCCACCGCGACGAGAGCTCCGAACGACTCAAAACACGAGGACCCCGAACGACTCACTCCAGGACGAGGATCCCGAACGTCTCACATCACGAAGAGCCCGAACGACTCACCCCAGAAGGAGGGGTTCCGAACGACTCGCAGCAGGACGAGGCGCTCGAACGACGCACACCACGCGGAGCCCGAACGACTCGCACCACGAGGAGCTTGAACGACTCACACTATGTCGAGGACCCTGAACGACTCACAGCACGAGGAGCCTCAAATGGGGCCAGGATGTCATTCAGGATCTCAGGAGAGCCCCAAATATACATCTTATCGCAACGTCTCAGGGGGCAGGCGGGGGACCAGCAAAGCTGACTATGACAACTCGGTCTCAGTCAGCGGGACGTGCAGCAACGCCGCGAAGCGGCCTATAGGAAGTACGTTTTCATCCACACGCTGCACGAGGGCCCCGACGGGCCAAATATATAATGTAATTCATCGGGAGGCCGATTGAGATGTGTATAACCTCAACCAAATCACAACAATCATCAAAAACTCGAGTTGCGATCGGCTTCATAATATTCTCATTCCCACGTGTCGTGAGAGCAGGGCTGGGTAAAACGTTCAAAGGGGGGGAAAGCTTGAGCGGACGCGAAAGACAGGCAGGGCAGGAGGAGGAATAAGACCTGCACTGCTATCTTACACGGCCCACCCCTACCACACCACCCCGAGACGCGATCAATTAAGTTTGGAAAACGATCATTATCGCAATGTCTCAGGGGGCAGGCGGGGGGCCAGCAAAGCTGACTATGACAACTCGGTCTCAGTCAGCGGGACGTGCAGCAACGCCGCGAAGCGGCCTATAGGAAGTCCGTTTTCAACCACACGCTGCACGAGGGCCCCGACGGGCCAAATATATAATGTAATTCATCGGGAGGCCGATTGAGATGTGTATAACCTCAACCAAATCACAACAATCATCAAAAACTCGAGTTGCGATCGGCTTCAGAATATTCTCGTTCCCACTCCCGCATCTGATGTGCCTGGCGTAGCCGAAATACTTCAGGTTGTAGTCCAGGGTGGGCGGGCGGGGACCACAACGTTCTCATCATGCGATCGGCCAAGAACACATCGGGGTGGTGGTCGCGCCCGTAGGCCACACACCTCTAGGGGGCCCTCGTATGGCGCCCCTAGCCACCCACTCGGGCGCCCCCGCTTGGCCTGTCGCTTTACTCTCTCCACCATCCAGTTGTCACGAGCTCCGTGGCGACCTCTTTCACCTTCTTCATCTTCAAGTTCGTCTTGTTGCTGTCGACCAGCTGCCTCTGCTGCTTGCTGTAGTTGGTGCAGGGCCCCCCCAGCTCGGGAAGTCTCGGCCTCCAGGCCGTCCCGCTCCTGCCCGTAGGCGTCGTACTGCATGGGGGTCCCGATGGCTTCGTCCAGGAGCCCCCCCTCCAGAACGTAATCGGCGATGGCGAAGACGGCCTCCCCCGGCCACGGGCCTCCCTCCACAGGGACGACCAACCTCTGACAACTCTTTAAGCTTCGCAAGGCCAAGGGGAGCTGGCTCCTCAGCTCAGGCCAACTCCCCAGTCGCCCTGACAAGATGATCGACCCCCTTGTTGGTGGAGTCGGTCTCGGTAGCACTTCATGTCCCTGTAGTCGGCCAGGGCGTGGCCCATGGCGCTCTTGCACCGAAGCTCCCAACCCTTGTCGACGCGGCAGCTGAGAATATCCCGCACCTTCGGGGCCCACTGTGCCGTGATCACGTCCGGCACGAGGCGGGTGAATCGCCTTGTGGAGCCGCCCTCGCGGATGCCCAGGTACGTCTCTTTCTCGTAGTTGTCCCACGCCTGCGGCCCCCGCCTCTGCAGGGGAACGTCTCCTGCCGTGTGCGGCTTCTGGCGAATCGCTCCGACGGGGTGGATTGCCTCCAATGCCAGGGCAGCTAGCCACCATCGTATCCCGTACCCGTGTGGTCCAGGTCGTGTAGACTGTGAGGTCGGCTGTCCGTCGGATCGGGGTGTCGGTCGCAGTGGGCTGCCACCGTCTCGGGCGCTGTTCCCAGGGGATATCCTGGAGAGAGGCCTTCGGCGACGTTCAGCTCCAGCGGGACGTAGCGGTAGTGCCCGTGGCCCAGGCGCAACAGGGCTGATGAGCTCTAATGGCCCTCGCCTGGGGCTCCCTGGGCCACCATGCCGTTGGTGAAGCTCAGGACCTTCAGCATCCGCCTCCGTGGCGATCTGGCAAGGTGTCGGAGCACGCCCACCACGGTCCGCATCTCGCTGGTGTTCGTGTGCTCCGTGCTCCTCCACCTTCCGACGTAGAGTGGCCGCCATCTCGCAGGTGGCATCCAAGCAGGGGACAGCGGGGAAGACCTCGATCTCCGCCCCTCCCGGCCCCGGCGGCCCGAATGGCGTCGTAGCTGGAGAGGCCCACGAGCACGCTGGATCGGGGCCCTTTATCTCCTTCGTCATGCGGGCCAACGCCTCGAGGATCGCCCTCCCTCGCGCGGCGCACCGCGGGGGCTGGAAAGCCTGGGCGGCGGCGGTGCAGATGTCGGGGCAACCCCGCTCCACTCGCCCCTCGGGTATCGCTGGATGCCTCCCTCGGTGGTTGCCTCTCGGGCGGAGACGGCCCACGGCGAGGTCCAGTGCGTCGTCGTAGACCCCGAAAATGCCCTTCATGGTCGACTCCATCGGCGAAGCTCCGTAGCAGCCCTGGTCGATATGATGGATCTGGCCGCCCGCCTCCTCGCCGAGGCAGGTCCTCTCGGGGGGGTTCCCGATAGACGAGTACAGGTCCTCCTCTGGGTCCGCGGGGTGATCCGTCAAGCACAGGCCACCAGTTCGGCAGACCTCGCGGACCGCCTGCATGGCCGTGAGCAGGAGGCGCGCCCCAGGGTCCAGGCGGAGGTGCTCGAAGGTGGCGAATAGTATGTCGCTCCGCCCCCAAGGCTCGAGGCGCGTCCGCGGGGGCCTGGGCCTCTCTTTCAGGAAGCACGATCGACTCCAGGTGGAACATGGCGGCGGGGCAATCACTGCGTGGAAGTGCCCGTCGCGCATCTGACCCAGAATCGCGCTGACCAGCTCGTCGTTGGGGCGGTCGTGCTTCGGCTCGATCACCGAGTCGATGGACCAGATCTGGATGTCGTAGCCGTCGCACTCCGCACGCGTGTAGATGGCCTCCTCCAGATCCCCCTCTCGGCGCCTGCCCGCGAAGAGGTAGAGCGCCTGGTTGACCCTCCGACGGACCCGCGGCGGAGGTGTAGCCGACGCATCGGCGAGCTCGTCCACGTCGTAGGCACACCCCCAACGTGGGGGACCCAGACGTCGGTGGCGATCGTCCACCCTCTCATCTCGGTGTAGCCCGTGGCCGTCCTGATCTCCTCCAGCAAGGCCTCGGTGACTGCAACCCCGTGGCCATTGTCCTTGGAGTCCGTCATACCCGTCATAGACACCTGCGAGAGCCTGGGCGCCTCGAGATCCTTGTGCCTGAACGTGGCGCAGTAGGCCATCGTCGTCAGCCCCCACCTCGCCGCGTCTGGTAGGCAGAACGGCGTCCTGGCGGTCTCTGGGCGCCTCATCTCGCGGTAGATACTGTCGCGGATGGCGAGGCCCATGCGCTGAGAGATGGCCGCCCACGCCCACAGCTTCACGGTGGCTCCGGGGTCCAGCATGTCCGCACCGCCAGCCCCAGCGCCGCCAGAGTCAGGCCACAAGTGCGATCGATTTTGGCCGAGATAGTGTAAGGTCGGCATCGAATGACCGCACCCCACGACTCGATCCCCTCGCCTTCTCTCTCCTGGTGGACGGGGAGCCCGACCTTCCCCAAGTAGTACTTGACTCGGTGCCGTCAGCCTCTTCATGACCTCGCTCACTGGCTGCCGCGCGCTGGCGTACGAGGCCACGACCGCGTAGTCGTCCATGTACGCCCAGCTCCCTGACTCGAAATCGACGGGCCCGATCAACTGGTGCGTCGGAGCCCCGTAGACCAGGCGCGCATCCCCGGTATCCGCCCAGAGCCTGCGCGCCGTGAGAGCCTTCGGCCTGGAGTAGGCCAGAGGCAGGAGCCGCGGTCGGCCCTTGACCAAGACCTTCACCGCCAGGAGGGGCCCGCCATAGGGGATGACGTAGCCCTGCCTGGTGGTCCTCATGTAGTCGAAGAACTCGTGGAGGGGCAGCCCCTCCAAGACAAAGTAGAGCCAGACATCGGGCGGCGTCTCGAAGCGGTCGAACCTGTCGAGGGCATCGCCCACCCCTGTGTAGACCACGTCCGCCTCGCCGAGACTGGAGAGGTCCAGGTTGGTCAGGGTCGCGGAGCTGCCCAGGGGCCCGTGCATAGGCGTCTGCCAGCGGAGGTTGGCCCGCCACCAGTCCCAGATGGCGCGGACCTGGCGCCTGACGGGGCCGAGGGGGTCCGCCTCCTCCCGCTAGCACTTCTGGATGACCCCGAAGAGCGGCATGCCCTCGACCAGCTCGTCGGTGGTCCTCAGCATCCCTGCCTCCCAGGGCTTCTCGACCAGGATGGGAAGAAATGTCCTCGATCGGAAAGACGAATCTCGGTAGACCCTTGGGCCCTTCAGCTCCTCTTCCATGGCGGGGTAGGGCTTGCGGGGCATCCTTCCCGTACCGTCGGAGAGGTCCTCGGTGGCGAGCGGGCAGATGTCCCCGGTGCTGGCAGGGTTGGTCTCTGGTGGCGGGCGAGCAGACTCCCCCGCGTCGACGGAGACCACCGCGCCCTTCGGTAGCATATCTCATCCCTTTGAATCCTTTCCCAGGGCAGCAAAAGCCCCTTCGCCTGAGCACGGCGAGGCCCGATCGGCCGTGACGCGCCAAAGGGCAGCGTCCTCGTTCACCTTGATCGCGGCCACCTGGCTGCCCCAAGCTAGCCACGCCTCCAGGAGCCTCCTCGAAGTAGCCCTCTGGAGCGGTGTCGCCCGCTCCCACGTGGCCGACGGCCCAGCGCCCTCGGCCGCCCCGGCCCCGCCCCGAAGTGGGTGAGGCATGGATCGGAGCAGCCCGTCGGCTCGAGCTCACACACGTCGTAGTGCGCCTTGATGTATCGGCCCCGCGCGGTCCGCCACCACCGACCATGGCAGCAGCGGCCAGCCCGGCAGAGGGTCTCGGTCTCGAGGAACGGCCTCGGGAGGAACGCCCGCGGCTGCTGCCGAGGTAGACGATGGAGAAACGTGTGGATGGAGAAAAACGGGCATGTCGTCGCCTCCCGAGGGATGCGGTGTCACGCGAAAATATCGTCGCGACCAGCAAGAGCACCACCACAGCTATCGGGAGAGTAAGCCCACAAGAGTGGCCGCCGTCAGAGCGGACGGAACGGTAAACCGCCAGCCTCTCCCTCAAGTGCGGGGGGCCCCGCAGGGCTCCACGGACGGGGGAGACCATCCCCCCGTCCTCTCGTCCTCCTCCGTTGCCGCGTCCGAGCCCTCCATCTGCGGATACGTATGTTGAAGAACCCTCTGCTGCAGCCTGGCCGTCAAGTAGCGCTCCACTATCGTGAGCGCCTCCTCGCCCTCCGTGAGAGACCTCCAGTCCAGCTCGTCCGTGGGGTCCCAGCACACCCTGGACGTCCACTTGTCGGCCCCGCTGTCCCGAGGCTGCTTCCCGTCGATGATGCCTGCCACGTCCTCGAACACCCGCATCAGCGCGTAGACTCGGGCGCACAGGTTCTCGTACCTCGCCGTCTGGGTGATCTCGGGCGAGGCCTCCGACCTCCGATCCAGCTTCATGCAGTGCAGCCTCATCTGGTGGCCGAGGTAGTCGCGACCCGCCTAACTGGGGCGAGCCCAGTCCGTCGCGAACTTGCCCAAGCTGACGTCCGCCCCGTAGGTCTTGACCCGCAGCTCTTGCGCCACGGGGGAGGTGGGGCCCGCAAGGCGGGTGACGGTGGACAGCGCATCGATCTTCCCGAGGTCGACCAACGCCTGCTCCCTGAGGCCCCAGCATACCTTCATCAACGGCTCGGGGCTTCCCCCCGCGCCCACCAGCGTCTCCGCTGCTCCCAGGTCGATGGAAGGACACGTCGTAGCACCCGACGTGGCCGCCGTGGGCGACGCGGCCTGTGCGGGGTGGCATCCCTGCGAGGCCTTGTCCGCCTTGCTCGTGTCCTCGAAACGCTTCCACCAGTCGATCATCCCGCCTACATGCCGGTCCAGGCGGGGCTCGGCCGCGCCACGGGATCATCATTTCCCGCTGGCGTGACTGCTCTCTCCAGGGGACGTTGCCGACGAGGTGCTCTGACTCGTGCGGGCACGACGCAACCCCGACCGTGGATGGACGATCTGGTCGAACAGGCTGCTCCCCGTGGCTGGCATCTCCTGCGTGCCCTTGGCTGGCATCGACTCGTCCGACGAACCCGCCCTGGAGGGGCCCGCCTCCCCGCCGCTGTCCATGGCGATCCCTGGAGGCGTTTCCCCCGCTAGCCGTGGCGATGACATCTGCTGGCAGCAACTCCAGAGACTTGGCCCGAGGGCCACAGACGCGGTGAAGATCATGATGGAAGTCTCGAGCCTGCCGCCTAGGTAGAGGTCGCGCCAGTCGCCTCGGACGTAGTCGGCTACGAGGAGCGAGTGGTGGCCATCCTCGAGCTCCTCCATCACCCATCGCATCCACCGCCACAGGTTGCCAGAGACGGCCACTCCCCTGGAGAAGATGGCGAAACCCACCGTCGACCCACAGCTCCATGTGCTCCACGCGCCAGCTAGCCCAGAGCGAAACCAGGACAAGGAGGCTCCATAGCCGTGAGCGTTGGACAGATACAGCTCGGCCTCGAACGGCCTCTCCCAGGCCTTCTCCAGGACGCCCGTCATCTCGCTGGCCGCGGGGGCAGGGAAGGATACGTAGTCCCAGCCCGGCCGCCGACGACTCGACCGCTTCGCCCGATTCTTGATGCCGCCCACCCAGAGGGCGTGGTCCAGCTTCACGTAGATCCCACTCGTGTCGTTCTTCTTCTTCGGGTACATCCGCACTTGCCCCAGTCACGGGGCCGTCGTCCGATAGAAGCGGCTCCATCGTATCACGCTACACATGCGAACCCGCCGATAGTCGTGGAGGCTCAGCCGCTCCGACTCTCTCGTGTCCCTCTGGGACGCGTCGTCCTCGGGCTCCACCAGCGGCCTCGAGAGGGGCGCGTCGAAGACCCACCAGTCCCCGATGTACGAGAGCGAGGCAGCGTTGGCGAACCACCACCGCCCCGCCGTGGTGCTGACGATCAGCGCCCGCGCCGTGAGCGCCCCAGTTGGTGGGGCGAGAGGCGAGCGCGAGCTCCTGGCTCGAGAGACCTCGAGCCAGAAAAAGCTTGAGCGGACACGAAAGACAGGCAGGGCAGGAGGAGGAATAAGACCTGCACTGCTATCTTACACGGCCCACCCCTACCACACCACCCCGAGACGCGATCAATTAAGTTTGGAAAACGATCATCCTGCACTGTTGTGGTTGCTGTTGCCAATCTCGTTCAGAGTAATGAAGCGTGGCTGTGAGCTTAACTCGGCCAGCAGCAATCGCTGCTGCCTACGAGCAATCTGTCAGTGACTGTGAGTTCTTTCCGCCCATCACTTGCGCTGTGAGCTTAGCTCCGCACGGACGCTCTTCCTTCCAACATCCTTGAGCGGTGGGTATGGAAATGGTGGTGTGAGCTATGTCTGGAGAGTGCGAGGGCCCACCGTGGCGGTGCAGAATATGCAGCATGGATTTCGGAACGCGGAAGAGCAAGTATGACATCCACATGTCTGGGCGTTACCATGCTCGCCAAGTTCGCCAGCAGTCAGGTCTACGGGAGCGGAAGGGCAATATCTTGCGCCGAATGACCAACGTCAGAAGTGCTAGCTTCGTCTCGTGGCTGAAAAGCACCATCAGGCGCAGCCAGCGGGCGATTCGGAACGGCGACCGGGTCGTCGACTTCATCCCGTTCGGCGTGTCGTGCCTCGTCACTCGTGATGTACAGGCAATTATTTGTCAGCTGCGGCGCCTGAGGACCAATGGTGCAGCCCTTTTGGCTGCTGTTGGCGCTGCTTGCTTGCTCTGGACGGATGCATGGGTGCAGGCCGTGGGCATTCCCCTCGCGACCGCATCCTACCGCGGCGATCTGGTGAGGAGGCTCTTGCAAACGCGCGCGGATGATGCGCAGGTAGCGAACCCCAGCATTCGCGTTTGCCGTGGGCGGTCGCTTCTCACAGGCACCCAGGCGTATGCTCGGCGCAAAGCTCGACGGCTTGCATCCTTAGTGCTTGGTGTTGCACGCCGAGCTCCAGGGGCGTACGCTCTACTTCAAGAAGGCAACGCCTCGAGCGCCATGGATGCCTTGTGCGGGTCTGGCCTGCCAATCGGGGGATACACCGCTAAATTCATGCCGGTGTTGTTGTCGCAACTGGGGCTGGCGCAGTGGACGACAGTTGCGACCCGCGGTTTCGCTGGTTCTACGGGCTTGGCGGCACTTCGCCTGCTCGTGGGTCGCAGCGTGACTTTGGCTGGGGCTGACACGGCGCTGGCGCTGCTGTCACAGAGCATCCGTGCAGATTGGGCCGGGCCGCCGCGGTTGCCCCCGTTCGAGATGCTGGACCTGGAATCGCAGCTCTGTGCGTGGCATTCTGCGGACTGCGCAGCTGCGAACAGCTGTCAGTACCGAGGCATGCGTGGTGCACTCCAGCTGGTGCAGTAAAGTGTTTGATTTTGTCGGCTCTGTGCACGTTTGTCACTGCAGCGGCAGGGCCGCAGTAGGGTGCGCAATGCGCAGACCATGGGTTCGTTGCCATAGCGCGCGTTTGCATCCAATGCGCGGTTGGAACATAGCCACCCTCAATAGTTGCATTCATCGCGCTTCCTTTTGTTTACTCACCCTTCCGTTCGTCGGCATGGCACGTGAGATGTTGGTAGAGCGCTCAGCGGGCAGATGTCACGTCATGGGCGCAGTGCGCGCCCGCGCCTGAGGGAGGAGGGTGGGCATGGAAGGTCATGAAGGAGGGGGTCCAATCAGCTGGCGCATGGCTTTTTTTCGGAACGCGTTCGTGTCTGGATGAGATGACGGGAGGGGTACTCTAGGGGAAACCTCTGGGGGTCATCCAGGGGAAGCCATCTGGTCGCTCTCGATTGGCAGAGGCTCCCGGGAAGCCGCTGGGGGTAAGACAGAGGTCCGCAGCAGCCACGTGATGGTCCAAGAGGCTCCCAAGAAGAAGCACGAAATCACCAAGGCGTTTAGGATTGGGCAAAGTCCATCTTCCCCGCACCTCAGGTATCGCCGTTGGCATCCTGTCTCACAGTATTAAGCAATGTGGCTGTGAGTTTCACGTGCCTACATGCCATCGCTTCCGCCTTAAGCAATCTTCCTGTGGTTCTCTATTCTTTCAGCTTAGTAGTTGAAGAGCGAGCTGAGCTCGACATTGGTGCAATGCGTTGCATTTGTGCTCTCTCCTCCTTGTCCTTGTCGTCCTCCTACCTTTCCCCTCGCTCACTCCCTCCCCATCATTTGTTCCTCCTCCTCCTCTCCCAGTCTGGAAGGTGAGCTCATTGCCATGTTCACAGTAACCTACTGCGAGGCTGCACGTTGCTGACAGTGGACCGAAGAGCACAGTGTTTAGGGCCCATCGTATCTGGACGTTTGGGCAAAGCGAAGTCATGTGACGATGCCGTCCGACCACGGTCTGCCTGTGTAGGGATACTTCAATTAACGAGGCTTTCACTGCCTCTCTGGAGAGTTCCCATGTACCCAGTCGGTGCTCGGCAGGATCTATGGCTCGAGGGGGCAGCACTAATTGAAGTTCTCTTGTGTTTTGATCGATGTCCTCCAAGATAGCCCCGACAAGCGCCGAGGGGGCACCAAGAGGGCCCAATATTGTCCGAAGATGGCTCTCGCGAGGCTCCACAGGTTTCTGGGAAGGGCTACGATATCACCCAGGGTAACAGGAGAGAGCCAAGGTCTCATTTCCTGCACCGTTGTCGTTGCTGTTGCCATTTTGGTTTGTAGTGATGACGCGTGCCTGTGAGCTTGGCTCGGGCAGCAGCAATCGGTGGTGTCCACGAGCATTTCTTAGTGCCCGTGGGTTCTAACCGTGCATCATTTTCGCTGTGAGCTTAGCTCTGCACGGGCGCTCGGTCTTCCAACACCGCCAAGTGCCTCCTTTCTTCCGGGTGTTCGCGTGAAGCTTGGGATGTCTGCACTTCCAGATGTACCAGAAGCCGCTCCGATGTATCGAGGCCAACCGGAGGACCAGGTGATTGGGCACGCAAGCTACGTGATCGAGTTGCAGGAGACCAATCTGCAGAGGAGCCGCGAGGTGACGACAGAAATATTGAAGGTACTCGAGGCACAGATGGATACCCTGAAGGCATCCAAGCTGCAGCTGACGACGTGCTTGACCCGCAGCGCCATGGCCAAAGCGCAGACGACGCAGGAGATCTACATGGTAGCGGGGAACATTCGTACCATCGAGGACCAGATCCAAGGAATCACGGCAGGCCTGGGGAAGCTGATCGAGGCCCACGGGACGTTGAAGTACCAGTCGGAGCTCCCCCTCATCTGGCCATCGGCCAAAGATTACATGAAGCCGCAAGCCGACGAGACGAACAACATGAAGGAGATCGAGTTCAAGCTGAGGGTGGCGCGTCGCGAGGAGATCGCTAAGGACCAACACAAAGAGATCTTCGATGTTGTGGCAGCCTCCAGAGAGCTCCGCGACGGGCGGCAGGCTCTAGAGGGAGGAAACCCTGCCTGGAACAAGAACAAGCCAGAGACGTGGCATGCCTACGGATGGAAATATTATGAGGTGTGGCTCGACTACGACAGCGTAAACACCTCGCAGGCTCAGGTGCCCGAGATGCCAGAGAAGCTGGAGGACACCTGGCCTCCTCCAGTGGGCTACGCGAAACGCAAGATGGAGCTAGGCAAGAGGATGGAGACCATCAGGGGAACAATGTCGGCAGCCTCATCGTCGGGAGAGCCACAATAAGCACAAGATGATGATAGAGAAGAGGATGGAGTTCGTGGTCGGAGAGAGGGAATCACAGAGTCGTCATTTGGGACGTGCACAAAGGCGGCGACTACATGTACTGGAACATATGGTCTGTGGTGATGGTGTACTCGCATTCGAATTGAGAGTGCGTGTGTTGAGTGAGTGGGTGTTGTGCCCCTCCTTCCTTGCTCTAGAGAAGGGGCGCGGCCCTGGGTATGTGCCCTGTCTCCTGATCGCGACTGCGAACGCCACCCTACGTCCATGCAACATCATCCTGCAGAATCATCACTTCTCGAACATCCTGTACGGCATTCAACAATGCATCGTCCAAATTAGAATGTACACGACATCGCGCGTCACATCGATCAGCTGGTGCAGCGCCCGTGATATCAGACCACATCGTATCCTTGACATTCTCATCATACGTACCAGTCCAGATCCTACATCATGTCAAATCAACACATGAGTGGAAACGAGGCCACTTAGGGTGCCGTAGAGTCTCGTGTCGTTGCGGATGTGAGTGATCCGCGTCGCAGATCTGGTTGTTGCATATAGTGCGTTACTCGTGGGTTGTGGCGCACGTACGGTCCGTGCCCGCCTAGAGGGTGTACTGCTGCGAGCCGCGGGCTCGAGTCGAGCGCGCCTGTGATATCATCGGTAGTGAGCGTAGCTCAGCCGTTGATCACTCAGCTGTTCCGATTCAATCTCTTTTAGTGAGGTGGCCAATCTTCCAGCGAGGGACTCGGGCCATGTCCACTCCGACCTTCCTCGAGGCTGTGGAGGCGTCTTTCGACGACATTGCTGTGCAAGCGGACGGCGCGGCAGAGAAAGCTATCTTGAAGCCTGGCGTTGAGGCTTTGCATGTGTTCCTGGAAGGGTGTCGCGCGGATGGCGCGAGTAGCGGCGCAAGTGCCGGAGCGGTTACAGTGGAGTCGTTGAAGAAGATTTTCGAGTGCAAGGGCTGGCCTTTCGACAAATCGTTTAGCATGGCTGATTTGACAACGCTGCTCCAATCGCTT